ATGTAACAAACCATTTAGAACATAAACAGTGTAATGTCTGTATATAACACCCCAGGAATCTGGGCAGCAGTTTCTAACCAAGTGAGTTATTAGTTGTGGAACTTAAGATATGAGTAGTAATCATCAATGGAGAAGGAGTCTTAGGTGTTATCAACATAGTTCAGATCATGTCCTTCCCACTAGGACTTAACAAAAAAGCTTTTGTTTTCACAACCTTTTAGATTTTGAAATTGTTGAGATCAATAATTTCAAAATTGTTTTTTGAAATTGTTGATAATTTGTCAATTTTGAAATTGTTGATAATTGTCATTGCACACATTTGTATTCCATGCTGTACTGTACCTCTTATCTTCTTTCTAGTTTATTTGGAGTTATGAATACTGTTACTATTTGTCACTCAAGTTCTTGACTGAGTTCATTGTAGAAACTAAGAAGCTATAAGGAAACACCTGAAAGGCGAGTGACTCACCCAAGACGGAGATTTTATTGGGGGGCTGCCCAAAGGGGAAGAAAAGGAGAGGCTAAGAGGAGAGGAGGAGGGCAGAGAGAAAGAGAAAGGAGAGAAAGAAGAGGAAGAGGGCAGAGGGCGTGTGCTTACAAGCTTCCGCTTAAGAAGGGTTGCGTAGGGGCCGTGGTTGGTGCTGATTGGCAGGGTGACAGGAACAATGAGCGGACACTGTGTCCTGTGGGGATTGGTCAAGGAAACCTTTGAATTTGGCACTCTTCGGAGAGGAGGGGGAGGGGCAAGGGATTCTGTGATGTTCTGTGGAGATGGAAACTTAACTTCAGTCAGGAATCTCCCACACACCCAACAACACCGGCCTCCAAAGAAAGGACTGTGCTTTGACCATCTTCCCAGTACTGGCATCTTGACCTCTGCAAAACTTCTGGAATTAGTGGTCCTCTCACCAACCAGTGTCTAACAGTCTAGATAGTTAATATTCCTTACCTTATAGGAAGACCACTACTATATAACTTCTTAACTAAATGTTATTGCAGCTTGTAGGGGAAAGGCACTCTGAAATGTTGGGAAAGAACCTTGAAGTTTGGGCCACATGCTGTATATTTCCTGGAACTGACAGAAAATAAGCAGAAAAATCAGAAATAAGAGCAACTCCTATATTTTGCTGGTCTCAAAACCTCTCAGGCTTCCTTGATAGCCATATTTTACCCTGAAAAGAAAGTAATAGACAGCAACTACCACAATGTTCTGCCTTTTATGCCACAAAGTCTGTCTTATATGTCACTTTGTTTTATTTGTAGCAAAGATGTTTGATTTCTCTTTTTTCATCCTGTCTTTTTAAATATACATGAGAGTAGAGTGTATTTTGACATATTATACATACATGGATTTTTTCTTAGAAGGAAAATAGCCTAGTTTCTTCTTGTTTTGGTTTTTAATGGCTGACTCTTTTCTGTAAATCACTGAATGAGGAAATTGTTTTACAGTGTGAAATAAACACCAGTTCATTATTCTGCATATAGAGAGGTACTGCTATAAGAGATCTTTGAAGAACAAAATTGTGAATGTGGATGAAATAACAATCATAGATTCTGTGATATTAGCTAACCTACAACTGAGCTATTTGCAAATTTCCATTACTGATTACAAATGGAAAAATTGTTTATCAAGCTTTTCTGAAGCCACTTTTAGATGAGTAAATTGTGGTAGATACTAGGTGGGTGCTTGACACCTTATCTTTGGGCAATAATGAGATAAAAATGGGAATGAGATAACAGTGGATGGTAGCAGCAGGAAAATAAGGATATTTGATGCAAGAGCTGTAGTACTTGTCCACGTGTCCCCAACACAGAACTAAAGTTACATGTCTGTCGCTTTTAAAGGATTTGCTTCTCATGAGCCTCTAGATAGCAGCTTTCCTATTTGATTCAGTGTATGGTGCTGTGCCTAATAAATGTGTATGGAGTGGGTGAAAGGACACATTTTGTATTAGAGGTGTTTTATAGTAAAATTGTTGAAAATAAATCACCCTCAGATCTAAAAGAGTAGGGTTTAGTTGGTAGAAAATTTACTTATGTGCAGTACTTCATGAATTTTTAAATATGATTTGTTATTAAATTTCATTTATTTAACTAGATTTTTCTTATATATAGTATAAAAACCAAGTGCATAACTAAAGTGAAATTTGTCTTCAACATTTCAAGAGTGTCCCTGGCTTTATGCCTGGGGCTACCCAGTGGCCCCATATTTCTGAATGTGAGCGCAACTTCTCACCAGCCTCTTAAAGTTTTTACTGCCTACTGGGTTCTGTACTCTTCTTAGAAGCCTGGGTCTTATAGCTTTTCCTGGTTCCTTTGCTGTTAGGCCATGCCATTCCCTACTTTTTCTGAGGGAGCAGGGCCTCCCTATCAAGGTGACACTAGAACTCCCTCAAAAGTGCATTGCAGCCAGACCCAAATCCTGAGTGCCTCTGTGTTCATGAAAAATGGGTAGGATGAATACTCAGGGGAGCGTTGATGCCAACTCCCTTTGCCAAACAGTAGCACTGCAGCCTCAGTCTCTCTGTTTCACCTCCTTGGCCATCTGAAATATGGCTTTCCTGAGGTTCCTCTGTCTCCTTCAGGATTGTGGGGTGAGCTATTCATAGTCTTTCTTTTCTCCAGTGGCAATTCCAGATCTCATTTGCCTTTTCTTTTGCTTTATTTCTCTTCTTCTTCTTTTTCATGGCCTTGTTCTCTCCTAGTCTTTTCTACCAATCTAAATTACTCATCAGCCCATTGTTCCTCATCCCTATCCTTAGGCATCTTCTTGACACTTTTCATTATGTAGATCTCTGACCCCAGCCTCCATCCTCTAGATCTTTCACCCAGTCACTTCTATGCTACCTTTTCTTTTTTAATTTTGAATAACATCTTGATTGGGGATACAGTAAACTGAATATATTTTAAATGCACATTTTGAGAAGTTTTGATACACACACAAAAAAAACAATATATGTATGTATCTGTGAAAATAATACTACTATCAGGTAATGAAGAGAGATCTTGCCGTCAAAAGTTTCCTCATCCCCTTTGGAAAAAAAAAAGTTTCCTCATCACCCTTCCCTAACTCATCACTTAGTCCCAAGTTAACCACTGATCTGCTTTTTGTTGCTATAGACTAACTTGCATTTTCTAGAGTCTTATATACATAGAATCATACTGCATATACTCGTTTTCATCTTTCACTTGAGATTCACCTATGTTGTTGCATATATTAATAGTTTGTTCTTATTTCTTAATAGTACAGTATTACATTATATGGTTATAGCATAATTTGTTTATCTGTCTACTTGTTGATAGAAATTTGTGTTGTTTCTAGTATTTGGCAGTTAGAAATATTAAGCTACTGTAAATATTTGTATACAAGTCTTTGTATAAATATAACTTTCCGACCTCTTGGGAAAGGAATGGCTGAATCATATAAAGGCATATGTTTAACTGCCATACTGTTTTCCACAGTGTTTGTGCCATTTTATATTACCATCCTCACTGTGACAGTTCCAGTTAAAAATACTTGGTATAGTCAATTTAAGAAAGATTAGTAGTAATATCTCCTTGACTAAAGAACTTGATCATCTTTTCATGGGTTTGCCATCTGTATGTTTTTGGTGGACCTGTATGTTCAAATATACTGTCCATTTAAACATTTTTTCCTTAATATTAAATTTTGAGAGTTCTTTACATATTCTTTGTTTTTTAATTAGATATGTCTTGGAAATATTTTCTCCCTATCTTGTTGTTTTAGTCCCTTAAATAGTGCCTTTTGAGGAGTAAAGCTTTTAATTTTGAAGAAATTCAATTTTTTTTTCTTCTATAGATTATGCTTTTGGTATTGTGTCTAGACAATTTTTACTCAACTGAAGTCACAAAGATCCCCTGTGGTTTTCTTCTTGCAGTTCTGTTATTATGTTTCATATTGATCCATTTTGAGCTAATTTTTGGTTAATTTAAAATTCCTGCTTCCTTATGCCTACTTAGTATGTGCATCTTGTACTCCTAGGAAGTTCTATATTCTTGATCCACTAGCTACTTCCAATTATCTTTGTGCACCAGCATCCCAAAGGGAGTTTTTCCATGTTCTTAAGCCTTGTCTGGTGGTATGCTTCTTTGTTGTTTAGCTTGAGGCATGATATATAAAGGGAATTTTTAAACAATTAAAACTAAAATAAGAAAGGATTTTTGTACCTTTACGAACTTTTCACCTTACGGTATCTTTAAAAAATTGTCAGTTGGTCAAAAAGACATTGGTAAATCTCACAATTGAAAATAAGAAGCAAGTAGAGTTTGAAATTTTTTAAATTTGTTTTAATTAGTTACACATGACAGTACAATGATCTTGACATATCATACATTTGAATCAAATGGGGCATAATTTCTCATTTTTCTGAGTGTACAGGTTGCAGAATCACATTGTTCATGTAGTCACGTATATACATATAGCAATAATAAAGTCTATTTTAATTTTGATGAGTTTTTTTTCGATTAAATTCAGGAAAGTAAAGTCATAGTAGTACATTCTTTATTATAAGTGATATATTTAAACTAATGCTGTGAATTTAAATACACTTGATATTTATTTTTGAATATTTTTTCAACTACCTTAATATTTTGGAAATATTAACTATTAAAATTCATAAAAGCCATGTATATGGGGGATACATGTTTTTCCTCTTGCCTCAGACCTCTAGTTAAAGGATATTTTTGTTTAAGATACAAATAAGAATTAGCCACACTAGACCCAAATAAGAGGGGGATAAAAGGGGAAAGGATCCCATGAAAATATAAGGGAGATCAGTGGGGTGAAAGAAGGTAATAATAGGAAGGGAGGAAAGATGGGAAAGGGGGGGAATAGTAGAATGAAATCAACCAAATTATGCTATGTATATATATGAATATGCCACAGTGAATTTCACCTTTATTTCTATCTATAAATTACCAATTTGAAAAAGAGCTATAAATAAATAGAAGGAAAACCAGTACTAGAGGAAATGAAAGAGGGCAAGGGAGGGTAGGACTTATATATAATTATAATTCACTAATTAAAATATAATAATATAAAGTTAACCAATAGAAGTTCAAATTCATACAATCAATCCCATTAATTAAATTTTATTTATTCATTTATGTATTCTTTCAGTTATTCACATGAGTCAATAAAGTGGCAACCAGTAGGGCTAGAGAGACACATAAAATAGATGAAGGCCCTGGTGTTAGATGTTATAGTGACAGTAATAGCAATTATTAAATGTTCCTTCAGATTGCCTGTGGTTTTGTCCTGACTACTGAATTCCATTTATCGATCAGACATATCTATATATCCAATATCCACAGAAATTTGGCTTGTATTAATCCTTAAGACTTTGACTCTATTTCATAGTGATTCATCTTTTTGATATACATTAAATAAAATAAATATGAATGGATATCTGATTTTAAAATATTGCACAAAACTATTCAATAGGGAGATCCAAGTAATTTTTTTTGTAACATATGCAGTTTGATCAAATGAAAAGTTCTCCTGCCTGAGACTTCCAGTATATTTCTGTTTTGAAAGTACCCTTCTTTTTTGATTCTATTTTAGAAGCATTTAGATGGGGTTTCCATACCATGTCCATCCTGAGGGCATGAGTGCATTTATAGAATACTCAGTTGTATATTTCCATTGAGAGACTTTTCTTGGAATGCTGGACTGCAGCATGAAAGTTTTAGCTGTTGACTGGTGTAGTTCTGAGTAAATCTTAATTTCACCTCCTTGCCAGTGACCTAAGTGCTCTACTAGAGGATTTATTGAGGGACTGAACCTCATAAATGTGGTCTTCATTGCCAGGAGAGAGACATAGCATCCTGCATATTTGTAAAGTATTCTTGTAAAAGTGTTTTGTGAGCAGTAGTTTGACATTATTTTTACCTCTAAAATTTAAAAAAATCAGTTTATGTATGACAAAGATATTTGTACATATTAAACTATGGGTATTTGAGTTACCTCAATATCAATGATTTTGACTATTTTTAAAGAATTTTGAAGAGGCACGTACTTAAAGTACTTTTACCTCAACAACGTCTTTCCTTTTGTGACATTGCTTTGCTTCTCAAGGGTGTCCTTCTTCCTTTTACTTTTAGGAAAGTATACCCTTTTATCACAAAGTATTTTTATTTCTAAAACTTATTTTTTTTAAAAAAATAGATCTTAAACATTTATTTATATACTCTATTTCTAATTCATTGTTTTAAATTTTCAGGCTCAACTTTAAAGAAGCTTCTACACACTGGAAATTCTATTAAGGTATTTATTTTAGATGAAAATATAATGGCATTTTTAATTACTCTTAAGTTTATTAATGCCACAAAGTAACAAAGGCCATTTTGAAAATGAAAGATCTTTATAAACCACTGTCTTATTTTTTATTTTTAATTGAGAAATTATATGACAAATATTGTTTAGAAAGGTTTTTGTTCTTAACATTGTCACTTATATTGTGAAGGACATTTTAAGTAGTGTTAGAAAAAGTGTCTTTGGTGTCAGAGTTTGGACTTCTGAGTTCTAATTGTGATTCTTTTGAGTATAGCTAAAGATCATAGTCAAAGCAGTGACTGCTCCAGTTTTATCATCAGAAAAAAAAAAGAGTAATTCATTTGTAAGCTTCATCGCTAACAACTGATTCTGTCTACCGCAGCAATATGGTTGTTAAAATTATAGTTGTCTCTGAATTAATTTTGCTAATTTTGAGAACTGTTGTGGGAGGAAAAAACAGCAGAGAGCCTCACTCTTGAATATTTTTTCATCTATTTGCAGTTGGTGACCTTGTAATTTAAGTTAAAGTTGGATTATTTTAAAATAAAAATGTATTATTTATAATGACATAGACTATCTGATGCTGGGATAAGATGACCCTAAAACATGAGTGGTAGAAGGCTGTGAGACTGGTGAATTTTTCACTTGTAGATATGTTCATGTCTTTAATAAGGTACTACATTTTTGTTTGTATACCAGTTTAAACAACCACAGATACTTAAAACTTGATATATTAACTTTCCTCTTATATGTTGAAAAACAGAAGCAATCTATTCTTAACCTCATTGTGATTTCCATATTTGTTCCCACCCCCCACATTTTTTAAGGAAATATAGTTAACTATAATTAAATATAGTTAACTATAGTTAACATGAAAATTTTGAGACTTATAGAATTTCACAGAAACTTTCCTCATGTTAAATATTATTTGATTAGGTGTGTATAGAGCTGCATCATTTTTGCTTGATGGCTGAATAATATGTATTCAACATTACCCCTCATTTTACCTGCTAGAGGAAAGGAGGAATAATATGGAAACACATGGAGGTTTGAGCAGAGCAGTGGTGGAGTCCAGGGGTATGTTTGGAAGTATGCTGTAAATCCCCTCAGTTAATGTGGTAGTACTGTTGCCAGCTAGGGTATCTGTCTTGGTGTATTTTGACTTCTCTTGGAAATTGGTGAATCTTTCTCTCTCCTCTCTTCTCTCTTTTTTCTCTCTCTCCTGTCTCCT